AACATCTGTGGATGTAGGAGGTACCTGATCGGCTAAATGGCTCTCCTGTCTGAAGCTACTGTCACTGGTCACGGCATGATTGGCCCAAGTTGAAGGTGGACCATGCAAGTCATAGCAATAATTGATGGTATGTCCATCCATACCACAGTGTGTACACCTCCTTGGACCCGAACTACGTCCTCTGCCACGGGCTCCCCCTAAATCTCGACCTCCAGTATGACCACCACCACGGTTATATGTAGGTTCACTACCACCACTCTGGCCATATGCCGGTCCACAACTACCACTACGGCCAGACTGAGCTCCCCGAGTTCCACCTCTAACACCACGGCCTCTAGATACTGCTAGGGCTGATCTATCGGAAATATTAGGGTTCTCGGTAGATCCAATGGAAATCCTCCTGAGTCGAGCAAACACCTCTTTTAAGGAAGGGAGAGCTGACCCTCCTAGTATCTGAGCTCGCACTGGTTCATATTCAGATTTCAGCCCCACCAAAAACCGAGTCACATCAAGTTGTTCTCTCTGTTGTTGCTGAATTTTGACATCAGAAGTGAGGGGGTGATAAACATTCAATTCATTACGAATGTTTCTCATACTAGCATAGTACTCCTCAAGACTCTGATTACCCTRTTGTAGATTAAAGTATTCCTGGTACAACTGATATACTCTGGTTGTGTTGTCTTGACCCGAATACAGCTTCTTAGCATGGTCCCACACTTCTTTGGCAATATCAAGGAACATGAAAGTTACACTAATCTTGGGTTCCATAATATTCCATAACCATGTGATGATCTGTGCATCTGCCTGCTCCCAATCATCATACTCAGGAGAATCGGTGGAAGGTTTTTCACCCCTTATGTGCTTCACCTTCTTCTTTGCCTTAAGAAAGACGTCTACAGATTTGGCCCAAGGTACATAATTTTCTCCATTCAGCTTAATGGAGGTCATTTGAACATTCAGGTAATCAGTAGGGACCATCACACTAGTCTTGCTATCACTGTTGTCTTCCATTGCTGAATTCTGATATTGCTGAATTCGGCAAACTGCACACTAGGTCACACTACACCCTGATTTCAGCACTTACTACTGCTGCAAATTGCACTCTTTACACCACAAACCCAACTCCACGACTGCCTGAAACTTCCCAGCACTGTTTGAGGAACACCCCCCTTCGAATCACACTGAAGGGTGCACAAACCCTAGCACACTACAATCTGAAATCCCCCATACAGTCTGAAATAGACTTCTCATTTGGTTCACACCAAAAAATGCATAAAACCTCTTACCTAATCACCGAAAATCAGACCACACAAGACACCCACTGCACCACACGAATCAGCCCTCTTCTCTTCATCGATTAGGGGAGGGCTTCTTAGAAACTGCAGCAACCGACCACAAACACCACAACTGGAGGCATAGAAACATCCAAGGGAAGAGGGCGACCACTCCTTTTCAGCCCTGTCCCTTATCTCTAGCTGATGGCGAAGAAAATAAGAGAAAAACCTAGGCTGGGTGCGCAGATAACAGAATTCTGGGCAGATCCGACTTGCTCAGTTCAGCTCTGATACCATGTTAGTGTTCGGTCTACCTGTTAGATTGATAACAGTCAAGGAAGAGAGAGAGAAGAGAGAAGGAGAGAGAGAGAAAGGAGAAGAGCAGAAGAGAAACAAGGAGAAAAGATTCTGGTTCGAATGAGAGAAAAAAGTCCACTCTCCCATTCGGCCAGATGTATTTTATATTACTAAAATAATGTGGAAAAGTCACATATGCCCCTACTTAAGTTAGGGACATTAAATCTAACATAAACTTACATATCAGCACCTAAACACAAGCATAAAGACAAAATTACCCCTACATACTCAACACTAACATATTCCTACAAACCAAGGTTCAAAGTATTAAGACTCACTATATGAAAAAAAAGATCAAGAGTTTCGATCAAAGGAAATTTTTTAATTATTATTTTTAACTGACAAATTGTCATATGATATGATAAGATGTCTTTTATCATTTAAAACATTAAAATAACTATAAAAAATGGACATAGATAAATCTCCAGGGCCTGATGGACTGACAAACTTGTTTTACAAGAAATGCTGGACTGTTATCAGAAAAGATGTCCTAAAGGCTTTTCAGGAATTTCACAATTCAGCACCGCTGGTGAGAAGCATGAATGACACCTTTATCACTTTAATTCCTAAAGTGGAAGGAGCAGTGAATCTTAAAGATTTCAGGCCTATAAGCTTGCTGAATAGTTTCTACAAGCTTCTTGCAAAGGTGCTGGCCGAAAGATTGAAGATCTTAGGAAGTGTAATATCAGAAAATCAATGTGCTTTTGTTGGGGGAAGACAGATTCTTGACAGTGTTTTAATTGCTAATGAAGTTATTGATTCTAGAAGAAGGGAAGGAAAGCCAGGTATTTTGTGCAAGGTGGATCTGGAGAAAGCATACGACCATGTCAATTGGTACTGCCTAGATTTCATTATTCAAAAAATGAACTTTAGCCAAAAGTGGAGGAATTGGATGAAGGTATTTGTTTCTTCACCAAAACTTTTGGTTGTAATAAATGGGAAATCCTTGGGTCTCTTTAGAAGCTCAAGAGGACAACCTGGAGAAAGCATACCATGCCCAGATCATTCATGTTAAATAGGTCAACGTATTAGTTACTATATATAGATCATTATAATCAATTCTGTTAGAGTTAGTCAAATGAGGGGTAGATTAGTCTTTTTCAGTTAGTTTAAGTTATGTGCTTATGTGGCAGCTCTAATTAGACTTCCTGTCCCATACTAAAGTGGGGGCAGTTTAGTCTTTGTACTTAATTAAACCCTTAATTCATATTATGGTCGAATAGTAGGGTTTAGGCTACCATGTTCGACTGACTTCTCCTTCTTCTTCTTCTTCTGGTTCGAACTGCTGAAGACAAACAAATTCAAATATGTAATTTTATTTGTGAGATCACCACCTTATATTAATATACTTATATGTACAAAAGAAGACTATACAATCAGGGGCAAAAGTCAAGAAAACTTGAACAAAAATCAGGGCAAAGAAGAGTTGCTATACAAGACTGATCCGTAAACTCCAAATTTGGCCAAATTATCTGCAAGACTGCAACAGCATTAAGTTCTCTTGGAATCCATTTGGGAGAAGAACTACGAGTGAAGACCAGGTCCCTTGCTTCTGCAAGATAGTGCACCAACCTCCAAAGGCCTGCACTAGTCCTATCCAACCACTTGATAGTATTCACTGAGTTGCCTGCTACAAGTAAATTAGTAAACCCGTTCTGTTTTTCTATTCTCAGCCTAGCAAGAGCTGCCAAAATTTCCGCCTTCACCGAGCTAGACTCCTCTATTGGTCCTCTGTAAGCCTACCTGGCATTATCCAGATTTGTAACAAAAACCCCACCAACAATAGCTGGGCCTGAGTTCACAAGGAGTCTTCCATTGAATTTCAAAGTGAGCTCTGCACTAACAGTCAAGGACAACCTGGCGGAACTAGGCAACGGAAGAGGAGATGATCTGAAAGGTATTTCTGTTTTTCTGTTAATGTCTTCCACTGTGTAACCAGCAAAGTCAAACCGAAGCCCATGGATCATACAAGCTAACAACATGCAACTCAATTTCATGAAAAGGCTTGCTTTTCAAAAAAGAACGAAATCATTTTATAATTGCCTAACTGGAAAGCCTGATAGATTTGGTTTTATAACCTGTACTGAGTGCCAGATGGGCCAATATTTCCTATTATCAACTAAAATAAGGCCAACCCTGCCTTATGGCACTAATATACTCTGGCTCAGCCCATCTGATCAAATTTCACATATAATCTTCTTGTGATCAATCATCAACACCTCATTTCAAACAATAAGGGTCAATTTCTGAACATAATTGCTGATTTTCATCTTCAACATTGAATGTCTCCAATCCACTTTCCAAGAGATTAATGAGCCTTCTTCTTAACCTTCCTCCCTTCTTCTGCACATACCTTTACAGTAAGAAAACCCCTGGCATTCCCCAATCATACTTCCATATACAAAGACAGAAATATGTCCTAGAATCCATTTATAGTATCAACCCTTAGGCTTATTTTACCATAATATCTTTTAAATTATCTTTGAAATTTCAAGAAACTACCTCTGGTGACCCAACAACCATCTTAGACACACTCAAAAGTAGAATAGTACTAAAGAGTTGGTACCAAATACCCACTCACCTTTAATGCTGTCTGAAATTACTAGTTGGCCTTCTATTGCAAATTCACAACTGCCTTACCTACTTTTTTTGATGAATTACTGCCTTACCTACTTTGATTGATGTCCTTGGACCAATTGGTTTGTGCACAAATACCAAATTATCCTCCTCAACAGATGCCTTAATTTGAAGCTTATCTCCCCTTTTGAAGACTTCTAGATTTTCAATTTCTCTTATAGCTTGAACTACCACTGCATGCATCTCCTCACCAGGAAGTCCTCACATGCAATCTCATCCATTGATTTATTACCTCTTAAAGAAATCAAAGTTAGAATGCAAAAGTCTTGATCTCCTTGGAACCAGAAGCTCCCTCCATGTTATTAGGATTTTGACATACTCCTCAAGACTTGTCTGTTTATGCGGAATTTGGAAATCAGGTGTCAACTTGAGATTAATGTGTTGCATCATAAAAGATGTGTTTGGATCATTGTTGCATGGATTCTCCTAAATGGACGATGCGTCTGTACTGCACACACGTTGAGTTCTGTAGACCCCCACTAAAGCCATTTAGTTCTATATATATATATATATATATGGATCAGTATTAATAGGGATTAAGTAGGGAATTCCCTTGCATCAGAATGCCAAAACTAGAGAAAAGGAATTGTCGTGCAACAAAGACTTGGTTTACAAACCTTAAAAGGAAGATAAGCAGATTTCTGTAGACCCCCACTTCTGCTGCTGTATCTTAGAGCATAGTTTATTGGGATTTTCCTCTCAGCTTCCTGAAATATATTTTGACACAAATATTAATACCTATATTAGATGGACTTGGTGCAGGTGTTGGGTGTGTGCATTTGTCTAGGAATCAATTTCGTTCAACCTCAAAATCTTGGATATTGGAAAAATCTAATCTAACATAGGTATTAATATTTCGTTCAACCAGTAATCATATATGGACAAATTATACATTTTTTTATGAATTATGGACACCATACATTGAGAATTGGACATTAAATCTAGAATCATGCAAGTGTGCTATTTTAATTCAGGTGCAGTCCATCACTGATATGCAAAAAGGGAAACATCAAGAACACAGTACAGAAAAAAGTTAACCAGAATGTAATATGATTAATTAAACCCCATAACATAGAGGTCCACATTTTATGAAGTTTAAGGGGAATTCTTGGCTGAGAATTCTATAAAACTATAAATACAAGCTTCATCTTCTAATTCAATACTTATTTTAGTCATATCAATTAATAGTTTATGTAGGGTCCATATCCAATTTAAGTGGATCTGTACAGAATCCATCAAAACTTGGAATCAGAGAAAAAACAGAGATGAATTTGGCAGATCTGAGACATCTCATATCCATAACTATGTTGTGTCATGTTCAAAACAGGTCTTGGAATAATATAATGTGTACAGGTATCATAGGTTAACACTTAACACAGCCCATCTTTCCACCAAATAATGTTGAACCAAGTAGAAATTACCTGAACATATACAATACCGAGGACTAGTAGGAAAAAAGAAAGGACAATGGTAACAAGTCCAATATAGTTCCCATCCTGAAATGCCTGTGCAACAGTCCTACCAAATGTTGCTGGTAAGTATGACAGAATGTTTGTGAAGATCAAAAGAGATGTCCCATTCCCTAGTTTCAGGTCAGATATCTGCTCTCCGATGTAAGTTGTGAGTACTGAGCCAAGTGTCAATAGTGTTACTGATGATAGCACCCACTGTGTACTGAAGTCATTGACATAGGGACGCAAGTAAAGTACTTGACCAATAGCCTGTCATGGAAACCAGAAAGCAATTACTAGAAAAGTTAAGCTATGTATCTGTGTACAATCAATTGGTGGAAGTCATTATAAGGAAGACATGAACATAAAGATAGGAATGCCTGGGATGGTGTTGACAAATCAGACAATGATCTTCACACTCTAGGACCTGCAAAAACATTGTTTTCTCATCAATCACTCACTCCCTATTCCCGAAGCACTATTGATGGTGCTTTCTTACTATTTCCAATTACATAGGGCTAGGGAGTGGGACTTCCATGGCTATTTATAGATTCTAAAACTCCCAAACCAGGTTTCTGTTTTCAATCAGACTTCTCCTGAGAATGTCACAAGAGTAATTCTTGTTTTATTGCCAATAATTCCCAAAATAATCATCATACTTTGAAATTATAGTTTAATGCCACTATATGCACTTTGTCTTCAATTTTCTTCAGTATTAAGTATTGAAAACAATATGCACTTCATTGGAGAAATAATTCCAATAATTTCAGCTGTAATTCCATCAATAAATGATTAATCATTTCATGTGATTTTTTCTGGTTGATTATAAATCCATCATTTTTGATAGATCAACAGAAAACTAACATAAACTAAGTAAAGAAAATAGCATATAAACTTGAGTGCATGTAAAATGAATAATTAGAGAAATATAATTAAAAAGTTGTCTGCAAAGCTTCAAATAACTGACATAAATTTCCATCAGATGGTGCATCCAGAAATCTGACATAAATTAAAAAATGCAGGAGAGTTTAGTTGTTTTCTATGAATTGTTAAAACTGTAGGATCCAGGGATTTTCATTATCGCTTTTAAAATCTTAGAAGTTAATGCTCGACACCCCCCCAGCATTAATCTATGTTTTCCAATTAATTGTGTACAATACCAGTTCTCTCTCTGTGGCTTATGAATATCAACTTTCAAAATAGTCTCCATTCCACAGAAGTTTGAAAAAAGGGTAAGTCTACCAAAATTTTTATTCAGTTTCAACTTGCAAGTGCAGAAAATGAACTGTATAAATCATGTCCGACAGTCCGAATAAGCCAGGGAACTGTTAACTGCCAAAAAATAGAATTTTCTACCTGTACTATAGCGAATCCAACCGAAGCATAACGGGTATACTGAAGAACTTTCTTTCTTCCTGCTTCGCCTTCTCTTTTCTGAAGTTCTTGCAATTTGGGGTAAATTTGAGTAAGCAGCTGAAATACAATCTGTGCATTGATGAAAGGAACTATTCCAAGGGAGCATATCCCCAACCGACCAATGCCTCCCCCAGAAAATGAATCCAAGGTGCTCAAGAGACTGTTCTGATCCAAATTACCAATGAAAGCCTCTCTGTTGACCCCACCTAAAGGTACATATATTCCAAGGCGGGATAAGGCCAGATACCCTAACAACTTGAGGAACTTTCCTGGAAGAGGACCTTTAAAAAAGTCACCAAAATCAATGGAACTATCTTCAATCGCAGCTGCCAATGTCAAAGAACTTAGTTAAGGGCTGAAAGCTAAAAGTATACTGTTCAACTTAGAGATATTTATGGATATCATAGTTTTGCGGCTAAAATTCCAAACCTGCCACTCCCCTAGCTGAGGAAGATTTCTCCTTTCTTGTACCTGATGTGCTCTCAGATCTTTGCAAAAACAAATCTTGAAAACTTTCCCATGGAGCAATAAACCCTGGAGATGCATCTGGATGGATACGCAATGGATCAAAAACTGTGCTATCACAACTGAGAAGGAGCTTACATTAGTAAGTGGAGAAAAATTACCACCACAAATTGAAAGTAAAATTATCTCTTACATACCTAAAATTTTCTAGTGATAAACTGAGGGAAGAAACCCTGAAAATTATCTCTTACATACAAACAAGAACACCAAACATCCTTCAAATATAACCGGTATAATATATTTCTCATAGTAGTTATCCTGGTTTGGATGCTGAAAATCTGTAATACTTTGATGGGAAGAAACATTATTAACCCTTTCTATTATTTGACCTAATACGGAGTACAGAAGTTTGTTTTTTTTTGGCAGCTAAGCAGCATCTGTGGAAGGTATCTTAATGGAGGATACATAGGCAGAAACTGTGTGAAAGGGTCACCTTTTCCCTTTAAAACAACTTAGGTCCATTGATCATTGAGTCAGATAACAAGACTACTATTACAGCTCTGAATTTCCCACCACAAGAAATTCTATGGAGGGGGAAGAACTGTATTGATTCAGAGCTTCCTAATACTGTGCAAAGGATGGACTTTGACTCTTCCTCCTAATACTGTGCAAAGGTGTGAGAATGGTTCCCTTTTTATTGTGTGATTTTGATAAATAGCCATCAATTTTATTAAATATACACACATACAAACATGAAACACCATTTTAGAAATAAAGAGTCTTGTCACCACTCTCTCATTTTCTTAAGCTTACAACTGTGCCCAAAACATTTGGTATCTCCCTGCCCCTTGTTTTGCTACCGCATCAGCCATGCTATTGGCTGTCCTTGGGATCCTTTGTACTCCTCAGCTCCACATCTCTTTTCAACCACCTGAACTTTTTCACTTCATTTCTGTAGGACCACAAAGCAGCCATTCTTTTTTGCAGCCACCCTACTACCAGTTCCGAATCTCCTTCAATAAGTAAGTCCCTAAGTTGCTTGCTGCAACTCTGGAATGAAGCAAGGAGGACATAGGGTGGACTTTGACTCGAAATTCAAATAGTTTCCATAGAGATTTCAGAACTTTCTGTTACTTCCATGCATTAAATTAATTATAGGACGAAAGGGGTGGGGCGGGGGAGAAAATAATTGATTAACGCCTCCTGTTTCTTGTACACATTGGCAATTACGACAAAGAAGACTAAGCACTCTTTGCAACCAAGCAAAGAAGATCATTAGTGGGCAGACAAGAATAGATAAAGTAGAAACCAGGATACTTGATCACTATATTCAAGTCTCTTTTAAAAGAACGAGAAAGCCCAACAACCAATAATCTCATGAAGAAAACTAGTACACAGATTGAATTGTCAAGAACAGTGTCAAAACGTGGGAATTTCTCTACCCACTAACAGGAACCTAGCAGTCCACACTCAAAGGAAGAACCATGATGAATAATAGAGAATTATGATCCTACACTCATATGACTATTATAAAAGATACAGATCAATAGAAAGTTCTGCAAAGAGACAACAGACAGACTCTAAGAAACAGAAATAATTCGAAAGTTATATTCGGACCCAGATCAATTTCCCACTAACCAGATTTGAGTCTCTATAAACAAACAAAATTTTACAAAAATCTCAATACCCAGATGGGAACAATGCGAATTTCTGATGACATTTAGACAGCCATTCCATTGCCATAAAAAGTAGATGGAAGAAATAAACTTAAAGAAAGACCAAAAAGGGTACCCGTTGAAAGGAAGGTCAAGCTTCCATTGATGGTTCTTGGGCTTTCTATTAACAGCAAAGCTCGCCCTGCAAACCGAACGCCACGGTTTTGGCTTTGGAGAGGCTTTAGGAGAGCGAGAGAGCGTACAGAGATTGAAGATAACCGAAGAAGCTTCACTAACCGTTAACAACATTATCCCTCTTCACTCTCACCGTCGCTCCAGTGGGTTCTTTCTCTTCTCTTCAATTAATTTTTGTTGGGCAAACCATTTCTATACGGCCCGCTGCACCAACGTTCCAATCCTTGACCGCCCGATTCGAATCCTTCCAACCAAATACATGAATATGTGGTGGATTATATAATCTTCGGGGTTGTTAGTTGTTATCAAGCAAAAGTTAAAAAAAGAAAAGATCAGATGGTTCTGACCTGAGACAAAAGAGAAGTAATGCGTTTGCCGGGAGTCGAACCCGGGTCTATTGCTTGGAAGGCAATTATCCTAACCGTTGGACTACAAACGCTTTGCTGACGAAAGCTTAATTCATATATATGAGATCATTTCATTCTGGTTCATTAGAAGTTGTATGAATTTACCCATGTAGCATTTTCATCCCCCATCTCTTCATAATTAACAGATTTGTAATCTATTCATCCATTCGCTTTAGTACCTTTTTTTTTTTTTTTTTTTTTTTATAAAAATCAAAAGGGGCAATACAAGACAGTGCTAGCACGTCCCCACAAATCAGAAAAGACAAATAAAAGCTAAATTCCATGGAAGATACACCTTTATTAACTAGAGAATAACCCTAGTATTAAGTACGGGGAAGGTACACCTTTTGTAAATCATTTTATTAATTTAAAATCCACTATTTATTTGATATATCTAATTTGAGTTTCTTATTTGATGTAAAAAAACGTAAATCTGGTTTATTTTGTGGAGTACAATGAATAGGCCTTCGTTAACAAAAGTTCAGGCATGAGCCATATGACATTCATAAGTCCAATCCAACCAATATTTTTTGGTTATATATTGTTATATTAATTTTCATTTATTTTTGTTAAAGATTATTATTTTTTATTGTTATCTAATAAATTTGTGTTAATTTTTAGGAAAAATCTATGATGCAGAAAATATATGGTATGGGAAGATTTTTGACCAATCAAAATCCACCCATGAATTTTGATAAAAATAACACTTGATTGGCTACCACGTTTATGATTCCAGTTGACTGGTTAGATGTTTTTCATATATCATATCTTTTTCATATCATAGTCGAACCCTAATTTTTATTATCTAAGTGGAATTTAAATATATTTTAATTTTTATCAATTATTATTATATAAATGTGTTTTAACTTTTATTAATTCTTTATACTTTAAAATGAATTTAAAATTACTATAGGATTATACTGAACTTTTACTAATTAAGCAAAAATAAATTTAAAAAATCTAATGAATTGTATTAGTAGGGTATGAGTATATTTGATCTAATTACGGGGAAATTTACCCTAATTAATCGCTTAATCTTCTTTTCCTTTTATCATTGTTTTTATATTTTAATCCATTTTTTCATTATTTTGTCATCTTTTAATATTTAACCATTTTTACATATATTGCATTTTCTTTTTCAATTAGTCATTTTTATTAATTGTTCAATAACTTTCTTATTGAATTAGTCATTTTAATTACCTAATCAATTTCTTATTTAATTTAATTAGATTATTCGATATTTTTCTTGTTAATGTAATTTTTAGTTAGTAATTACTTAATCAATTTTATTATTTAATTATCCATTCTATAGTGAATAATCAACTTTAATTTTTTAATCATATTATAGTGCATTTCTTAATCTATTAATTATTTAAGAATGCTTTGAATTATTTAATCATTTTTATTTATAATTGAATAATTTTTTTCTCTTATCAGTTTATTAGTTATGTAAATGAATTCAATAGTGAAGGAAAGTAGGTTAATTAAATCAATGTAATTAAATTGAATAACTCGTGTTATGTATAGGTAAGACAATGGGTGAATTTGTTTGTGTGAACCCATACACTGTACAGTCAAAATGGGTCACAACTAAACCCGTTTTTGTCTTCTTCACTGAAGTGTTTTTAAACGGGTTTCTCGCTAGTCGTATAACGAAAAACAAAGGTCATAAATAATGATGGGGTTGTAGATGTTGAAAAGCAGTGATTAATTGGACTCATTTCTGCCAAGTTAATGACGATATAAAAAAACTGTTCCATTAATTAAGAATGGTAAATTAATTTTGATGCTACGTATCTCTGTTCAACGAACTTAATTCCATGAGCAATGCCAATGGAGGGCTTGATCAAGTCTTAATTTTAATTCTATGATATTGGGTTCAGACTAATTCCAGATATTCTTCTTGGATTTAATTCTGTTAAAATGGGTTATTTCAAACTTGGAGTACTCACTCAAAATCTTTCAAATTGATTTTTCAAAAAAAAAAAAAAAAGATTGTGTTTGCACGTTAAATGGAAGACTTCTTTTACGTTATATTTGGTTTAAAGGAAAATATAGGGAAGGGAAGGTAGGAAAACCTTTACAAACCAAACATAACCTTAGTTATGGCCATGAAACACCCAAATTAGCATCCGATCAAGTTTAATTTTGCCGCAAGAAAACACATTTTAAAACAAAAGAAAAAAAAATGCAAGACAGAGAAAGATATTCATGTAACAATTTCTATTCCAAATCTGTTATTCATGAAGCCAAGCAATCTCTTAGAAACACTCAAACACTTGCATGAAGAAAAAAATCTGATATATAAAGAAAAAATCAAATTATTCAAATTTCAAATGAGAAGATGCTGCAAATAAGAAAATCATGTAAGAGAGAAAGGATGCTCACTTGGTTTCTTAATTTCTATTCCAATTGTTCTATTCGTGAATCCAAGCAATCTCTTAGGCTATGTTTGGTTTAAAGGAAAAGGTAAGGAAAGGAAGGGAAAGGTAAGGAAACCTATATAAGATTTGTAAAAGTTTTCTTACCTTTCCCTTCCGTTCCCTACTTTTTCTTTCAAACCAAACATGATTCATATGAAAATATGTTGCAACTAAAAATGCAGTTAAATAGTTTTACTGCAATTGGCTTCCCCCACTGGTTGGCGTAATATGTCATGATTCCCATGGTAATCATGTGGCTAGTTTGGCAGCCACTATTCTTCTTTGCTCCACATTTGCAAGTGAAGCAGAGGCTCTACTTTTTGGTCTCAAATTGGCTAGTTCCTATCCAGTGCTTGTAGGAGGATTCATCCCCCCTTCCTTGGTCCATTCACACTTATATTATGGACTGTACACTATAGGCAGTTTCTCCTCTCTTTTGATTCAATATTGGTTTGCCATGTTAAGAGGGATTTCAATAGTATTGTGCAAACTTGCTAAATTTGGTCTAGCTGGCCATTTCTTTTGGGCTGGAGACACACCCTCTTGCATTTCTCATTTAGTTCTATCTGAAAAGCCTTCTTTAGAGGCTAATGTAAACCTAGATTTTGTTGTTGAATGAAAGTTGACACTTTTGCCTTTCCTACTCAAAATAGTATGTTTTACGTAATAATTCTTTCTTATCTATTGAATACATATATTTTCTTTTGGTAGTAATTGATGAAAAGCTTTTGCATGAACTAACATCAACCAGTGGGAGACCTTACCAACCTAGGTACAAACGGGATTTGATCCCAAGTCTCTGCTATGACCAGAATGAGACCTTACCAACCATCTGGTTGGCACCTTGTAGGATTTTTTTTTTCCTTGAGAGTGGGAATAACCACTCTTTTGAGATGCTCTTTATTGAGAAAATAAGATGTCACTTGTCTGAGTAAGAACCTTTCATGTTTGATGGGATTGGGTTGTGCTCAGGTTGGTCCAATTCTTTCACTTCAGTATTATTAACGCACAAAGCTTCAATCCTAACCCATCTTTACCTTTTCAGGTTTGTTTTGGGCCAAGTTTGGCCCTATTTCTATTAGAAAATGGAGCCAAACTACATGAATTCAAAACTTAGAGAATTGATAAAAATCCATCTCTATTGTGATGCAGAGACATCCCTGTTCTATTGAGGTTCTATATGCATGTGCACTGTTGAGAAGGGAATTTTGATCCATTTTAATTTATGGAAATTCCTAGGTCTAGTCCATGATGTGTAGTCTATCCATTGTCTAAACTCTAAAGTGGTGTTTGGTATTGTGCAACTCAAAAGTGGTTTATGATGTGTAGTCTTTTCCTGTTTGGTATTGTGAAACTCAAAAGACATAAAAACGAGTGCATGGAAATACTGAAAAATCCAAAAATCGAGAAGTTTCAAATGAAGCTTTTAGTCTTTACGCACTGAAAATGGCCTTCCCAACTATTTTTAATGGCTTGGTAGATCATGATGCGAACTAAATAGTATTCATATTTAAAAACAAGACTCCAAAAGCTCAATGCATCTTCTTGTCTATTGGGTTGTTGAAAGATCTACCTATCAACCACCTTTTTGACCCTTTTACATGGGACTTGATGTATTTTAGACTCTATTATTAATAGGTCAAGTTCTAAGTTAACTTATTCTGACCCAATTAAGACCAAATCCAATTGTTGCAGATAAACATACATATGCACATACAAATAGCATGCAAGTAAAATGCTCATTGAGTGTAGCATCTCTTGCTCTTTCGATTCGTTGGAGATGCAAGCCTTGTAAAGCCCTAGTTTTTAGGTTGATTTCTCCCCTTCTTGGATTTGTTAAGGTAGAGAGTTCATTTTTTTTCTGTTAGTCTTTTTCCTTCATCTAAGGTGTTTTATTGTTTAAAGAGAAAGAAAAAAAGGGAAGGTTTATTCCAAGGCATTTAAGTTGGATATGAATAAAACATATGACAACATTAATTGGGACCTTTTGGAGAAATCTTCATAGATTATGGATTTTGCAACCCTTTGGATGAAGGTTATGATAGCTTGTTTAACCTCAATTTCATATTCTTTGCTCTCGAATGGAACAATGTGTGGTTACATTCAACCAAATAATGGCTTGAGCTTATGAGACCCCCTATCCTTATATCCTTTTATGTGTGTTGTTATGGCAATGCTTGACATATTAATTGCAAATGGCCATTAAGGAAATTGGTTTAGTAAGTTTAAATATAAGCTATAGAGGCTTGACGTTTACACATTTGTTATATGCTAATGATTATGTTCTTTTTGCAAAGGTGGATTTGATCCAATGTCACAATATAATTAGGTATTGCAAAAGTGAGAG